ACACACACACACACATGCTCAAACACACAAAAACACATGCTCAGGCTCAGGTTCGCGCCCCACAAGGCCTGGCTCAGAGCAGTCTGTGCATTAAAGCTGTGACCATCCGGTAACTTAATGACAGTTTACATCATGTATCGTATATTTGCAACACATAACTTCACTTTGACTCTTCTTGTCGGATATAATCATAAAAATATGTAAAAGAATTCAATTTTGTGAACAATTTGTTTTCCTCCAGACAAAATAAAGCAACACTGGAAAAGAATAAAGTAAAATAACAAAGACCACGAGCTCCTCCATGAATCTGCGTCTGATTTTGTGGTGTTCCTTATTCTATATATAGTTTCATACTTTAAATAAAACTGTATTGAATGAATTCATTCCACCCTGGTGAAAGTGAAAGGAACATTTAACCTTCAGGGAATATTCGTTTTTACAAGCTTTTCGAGGGTTTAGAGCAAATTTCCGTCTCATTGGATGAGTCAAACTCAGTTGGAGGAACCTTCAGAAACTGGTTCCCAACCTGGGGAAAAAAAACACTGTTTGGTTTAAGCTGTCAAACGCAGTCGACATGCAACGGGTCAAAAGTAGACGCTGCTTCTCTCTGGGCCAAGAGGGTTGAACGTCTCTGTTTCTACGTTTCCTAATGAGAAATACTAGTGATACTCTGGTGATGTGGTGTCGATTCACTGCACAAAGGGACTGTTGTCGCTTCAGAGTGAAAAGCAACAGCTGAAGGAAATTAGGCAAATATGTTCATAGCAGGTATATAAAAAAACTATCAGCTCTGAATTATTTTCCATTATTTTGCAGGACATGGAAAATGTGCATTTTTATTTTTCCAGACTTTGGACAAGAAACTGTCAACAGTCTTTTACTGTGTGTGTGTGTGTGTGTGTGTGTGTTTGAGTGTGTGTGTGTGTGGATGTGATGTTCTTACCAGTCAGTGTGCACTGCCACGTTGCTCACAGCACAGTAGCCTGGTTCCTGGTCTTCACCACACAGATCCACAGTCAGAGATGCAGCCTGCACGATGAAACACACACACAGTCACATGTGATTGTAACAGCTGTAAAGTCTCCATGCCGCCGGCTGTTGTTGTTTCAGGATAATTATTGATTATTGTTGACTTCTCATGTCAGAATTATTCATTAAAATACATAAACAATGACAGCAATCTCATTGGTTTGTGTCACTGTCGAGTCGATGGTGAAAAGTACGAGCAGGGATTTTTGGAACTGTTGCTGAGAGTAAGTGTCGGACGTTGATACAACAACAGTGTTGGTGTGGCGAGTGTGAGATGTCGCCATAGAGACAAACAATCATTCACAACTGCAGGCTATTTAAAGAGTCAAACTGACCTGATCGACATGTCCTCTGAGACACGGGTAAGACATGCAAACTCCACACACTACTGCAGCAGTGTTACCCACCGCACCAAGAGTCCTGCGTGTTAACACATCTGCGTGTTCATGCCTAATACTGAGTTCTCAACAGAAACAGGACTAGATTTAAAAATCATCAAAAGCCTATTGTTTGCAACACGATTGTCATCTCAACTTTATTGTGTGCAGATCAAAAACCCATGAGAGTGAATCTCTTCTCACGGACTGTGGACGTAACTTTCTCACCAGGGTTCTGGTTCCACCCAGTCATTCCTCACTGAGCGTTTGTGTAACTAAGTCATGTTCAATGGTTGGTGTGAGTTTCGGCCACCGCAAGGCACGTAGGCCAATTATTTTTCATCACTCCCTTCCAGTGGTTGATGGGAGAGTGGCATGAAAATGCCATAGATTACAGCAAACATTTCCTACTTCCCGTTAATGGCACTAAATCTTTTGCCCAGATGTGGGTTATTCTCTTCGTCCCTCCCTCCCTCCCTCCCTCTCTGCCTCCTCCCTCCCTCCCTCTCTCTCTCTCTCTTTGTGCCCTGAGAGCGAACGACCTTATGAGGAAGAAAAGAAATGAGCTGCGGAGGAAACTGTCCAGAAAAGTGCGTGAAAGTGTTGAAAAACCGGGGCAATCACGCTCCACCTCTCTTGGATCTTAAGTAAACACGGACCACACCGGTCCGGATCTCATACATAAATCATCCAGAGGAGCTCGACACACACACACACAAACACACACACACACGCACACACACACACACACACACACACACACACACACACACACACAGACTTTGCAAAACCTTGACCATGACCAATTGATGCCTAACCAACAGTTGGACTGGCGTGTCATGCAGAACAGAATTGTGGTTACGTAAGCATCGCACTGTGAATCACCAGAGCGGCCATTTTTGTTTTTGTTTGACCGAGCACGATGGACAACCAAAAAGAGGAAGAGCGCTTCGAGTCCCAGCTCCGTCCCTGTACTCAGAAACAAATCTGAATAAAACTCACTAAACCACACAAACATAACAACAGCAGCGAGAAACAACAGGACTCGTTCTCCTCCAACACGTTCGTGACTGCCACTGAGGAACCGTAAAGAACCGCATGAACATTCCATTAAAGTTTCGAGCTGTGATCAAAGTCTGTGCAGTCATGCCTTTCATGCACTGCATTGACTGTCAAATATTTCTCTAGAGAAAATAAAAACACTTGGAAACGACCGTTTTTTGTTTTGTTTTTGGAGATTTCTGAGGGAAATGTGAAGAAAACGCCAGATCATTGTTTGCGTAGCCGTGACTAATGTAACGGAGCGACCGTGGCATCGCTCTCAGTTGTGGTGCAGGCGCTGAGTCGCTGCTGTTCGGCCGTGAATTTTCTGCTTGTTTCGAGAACAAATAATTCAGATGATCAGAAGCTTGGTGATTAGTTGCCGATGCTCATGAGTTCCAGAGAAGCTGCATCTGCAAACCTCGTTCACGGAATTAAATCTGTTGTTTGTTCTAGCTGAGCTTTTCTGGACGCTCTCAGCTGTGATCTCTTCAAGTCACAGGGTCTCACTATTTGTTAGTTATGTGACTGTGGCCTCCACACTGACTCAATGCAGATGAATGGAATTTTAAGTTGTCCCCTGACATGCTAATGCTATTGATAACACCAATGCCGAGTATTTCCACCGTAACAGTAAACAAATGGATTCAAGCTCATCAGCATATTCAGAGATCACAGTCACAAAATGAGAGGAAAGTGTCGAGCTACATTTAAAACATGTTGAGGCGGCGAGGTGATTTTCTTCATGTAAAATCTTTTGAATATGTTATTTTTAGGAAAGTATTGTAATAAGCTTCTGATATGAGACTTTAAAGCTTGAAGAATTCAAACATTTTAGGAATTACATTTAAAAAGTCTTCTGGAACCTGTCGCTTAGGAAACACTGAGCATTGCACTGAAACATTTGAATTTTTGATTGTATTTCAAATATTTTCTCGTTTTCATCTAACATCATGTCCGGCCATGACTTCATCACGTCTATTATCTGTACCGCTCCACACAGAAAGACCCGGGCAGGCTGTGAGCTTTGAACCCACAACCTTCATTCAATTTTTACATTCTAACCTTTTACACTCTCATCTCTGCGGTGTGAACATTTCTCCTCCTCAGGTGACAGTTTTTGTCGATGAATCGTGACAGTATCAACATTTTCCTCTGTGGCAATAGATTATTTTACACTCAACCCATTTCTTACTTTTCATATGCTGGCAAACCATAACAGAAGCATTTGTGTGACTCAACCGTGAAGTCCTGTTGCTGACCATTCTCATTGCATTTACTGTCACAGACGAAACGGTTCAGATGGTGAAGCTGATCACGCCGATCGTAACAGGATCTGTGAACCTCTGATTTCTTGGATCTCTCTCGATGAAGCAGTGCATGACTGTGTCTTTGGTTTCTTTCTGCTTTTGACGTTGACTCAGGATTCAGGCACGAGAACTGAGAATAGACTCTGACCGATGGAATGACCCACAAACACCAGTGATCGGGTTCACGTCCACCTCACCGGGCACTACATGCAGAAAGACTCTCAGCTCTCATCGTGATCTCTGTTCCTTTCCATCCCATCACTCTGCACCATCCCAGAACTGACAATTTAACGATTTTACCAGTTTCCTCTGAAAGTTCCCAGCACAAGGGGAGAACTGACAGATTTGAAGTCCAGCAGGAGAGCTATTTTATAGAAGGTTTGACAGGGCCTGGTTTTTTTTTCCCTCTTTCCCTGCCACTGAGCTGCTGGCAGCAAGAAGCCTCTCATTCAGAGCGCAGGAGACAGAAATTCAACCTTCAGGGCCATTTTGGATCCTCTTATTGTACATCACAACAGGCAATAAAATATAATTACAAACCTTGAAAACCATAAACTGAGCTACCCGTGGTTTGGGGGAGTTTAATTATCATCTGATGGTGAAAAAAAGAATATAACGCCAAATTTGGATGCAGCTTTCTGGAATAAAATGTGGCCATTGAATGTGCAGAACACCTTCTATGTCCACACCCTGTGGTTTTCCCCAGATTTCCCTTCAATGCTTATGCTCCTATAACCTTATAAAAAATTACAGAGCCACTCTGAAAACTTTTGCAATGATGCATGATGAAAAACACTTAACATATGAGCTAATTTCTGCAATAAAAATAGGCGTTCTTACCATCCCGGCTCTCCTGGCGATGACTGTGTGGAACTGCCCATCTGCGACTTTTATCATGGTCATGAGTTTATAAGTTCCGCTACCGAGGTTGAAAGAGAAGCGCATCCGTCCCTCGAAGATCTCCAGCGCCAGGAACTCTGCCTTGTCTCCGGTCTGGTTGTCGTGGTTGTACATGAGCAGCGCGTTGCTCTGCAGGGTAGCAAACTTAATATATATGTAGTTATTGTTGGGATCCAGGGATGGAAACTCCATGTAGGAGAGCTCCTCGAAGCCGTAGCTGTTCAATTCACAGTGCTTGCCGAAAACCCCTGAGGATAAAAACAGACAGACGGAGGAATTAGAGGAAGCCAATGAATGATTCACGGTGCTGCAGCGATAAAAATATCTGCAGATAAACTGGAGTCTTTACTGAGCAACACTATACGTTCTGTAATTAGATGTAACGAAGCAGATATTTGTCACTGCAATCAGATAATAATCTTGCATCTTTGAAAAGTTTAAAACTTCTCATTAAAGACGGAAACAATACAAAGCATGAAAAATGGAGACACTAAATGAAATGTGCACATTTGCTTATGAAATCATGGGATAACTTTCTTTTCTTTAGGGAGGTTTCACATGTGAAAATGTTTAATTTTGCACAGCTCACTAATACCCTACGAAAGTTTCCTACCATTACTTACCAAACGGACAATGACAGTAATATCCATCCACCCGATTCTGACAGGACCCACCATTAAAACATGGGTTACACTCACAGTGATTGATGATGGAGTCACACGTTTTGCCTGAATTCACAGAACAACACAAATTAAAATGGATGGGGTGGCAGACAACACAGAAAAAAAAGCCCAGAGGGGAACATAGTTCACTTGCAGGCTTTTCATCTACTCACAGCTGAAAAAAAAAAACTCTGCTCGTACAAATCATTTCGTCTTGAGCCTTAAAGTCTTATTTTTGCTCAAACACACGAGGTGAAGGTGTAGTTTCACCTGTTTTAGTGCATTTTTTCACTTATTCTAAACATTTCTTGAAATCAGAGAAGCTATTCTGGAAAACTTTGGATCACTCATTGAACAATGACATCATTTGATCCGAAGCAACATCTTGAAACTTTCTCAGGGAAATGATCTCACTCAATTGGCAAAATCTTGCAACTAAGAATAATCAGATTTTCAAAGTCATTGCAAAAATCAAATTACGGTTAGAAAAGGTTGGGTTTTTTTTTTTTTGCAGGGGCAGAAAGTAATGAATGTGGGTTGTCACATATACACTGAATGAGTTGAACGGTTTAACATTGTGATAAAAATAAGAGACTGGGGTATGAAAGTAAATAGGGTTTGGTACAATGCAAAAAGACTTAAAGGAGACATATTCTGCTCATATCCAGGTTCATTACAACTTGAAGAGGTTTACGTGCTCTAATGTTCAGAAAACACATCACAGGTGTGAACTATGCAAATGTGAAGAATTGTAACGTGACATCACGGTGCCCTGAAAGTTGTCCAGACTGCTGAGGAGGCAGTTCAGGACAAGTGTTTGAACTTTTGAACTTTTACATTTGCAAAAAAAAAACCTCTTATAACATTCTGGAGGAAAGACACACCGGAGAAGAAAATATGTCTCCTTTAAAATGAACAAATACACGTAAATCCACAGACAAGTTGGCTAATGGAGACGGATCACGCTGCCAAAAAGCAGGCGGGGAAAACAGGAAGTTGAGAGTTCACCGTGAGGGCATGCAAACTACTGTAAGTCAATAGGTGCATTTCTTCAGGAGGATCATTTATCTTGATGAAACCTGGAGGTTTCTAGTCATTTTTTACCGTCATAATAAAAGGGGACAGTAATGAGTTGACTTGAGGCAAATCGCCTGCTTTGAAAATGTCTTTCAGATGCTGCAGTCAGCAGCTGGACATCATACAGGATTGAAATGACTCTTCTAAGTAATTCCACTTAAAATCCACTCCCCTTTTATCAGGGGTAATAATGCTGTGTATTCATTACGTTTCCAAACTAAAAAGCCTGATTGGATCTTTTATAAAGCAGCTCATTTGTCTTACAAGTCAAAACAGAGCCAAAAGAGAAATCCTTGATTAAAAAATCCTTCTGTGTACAGTTGGATTAGAAATGTATCTGTGTGTGGTCATAGCTGCATGCACATGAAGGCACAAAGAGAAATGTGATACTGGTGAACTGTGTGTGGAGTCTACACTCACGGCCTGACCGGGGTCAGCTTTGCATCATCGTTTTTATTAAAGCAAACATGACAGGCTGATATACATCACAGCAGATACCCCCCAACAAGTAATCCAAAAATAAATTTTTTATCTGGCATCCATGCTGTGGCTACAACACCTCCTGGAAACATTCAGAGGCAAATATTTTGCTTGGACCTAAAGCTCTGTCTGTGAGGACACTATTATGTGAGTGTCAGTGAGTGAGTGTCTCCATTGTTTCTCTTTTTTTCTCTGAGCCTCACATGAGCGAGTGTGGTCAGAAAATGAAATGTGTGTGTGCAGTACCTGCAAAGCCAGATTTGCAGAGACAGTTGAATCCGCCTGGGAAGTTCTGGCACAGCGCCCCGTTCTTGCAGGGATTGGAAAGGCATTCGTTGATATCCCTCTCACAGGCCATCCCGGTGAAACCTTCAGGACAGGTGCAGGAGAAACCTCCCACCAAATTGTGGCAGGTGCCGCCATTGTGGCAGGGCGATGGCTGGCACTCGTCAATGTCTGTCTCACACAGAGCGCCTGTGTATCCTGGCCTGCAGCTGCAGGCGTACGGCTGCAGGGGGTGGTTGGAGACAAGGATCACTGGGACACTTTCTTCTGTCTTCATATCAGGCCCGACACTGAGACGCCGCTTGCAGCTGCCTCCATTCTGGCATGGGTTATGAGTGCAAGGATCATGGTCCACCGCATCTATTTGCACCCCGCTCTGTCTATATAAAATGTCTTTGATACTCTGGAAGAATGTGGCCACGCCGCTGGGGTTGACATATTGTCCATGGCCACGTTTAACAGCTGCCATCAGGAAAGTCTGATTGTTGAGCTCAAACGCTCCATACAGAAGCACCCCAGTGCCTAGTCCTGCTAGCTGAGAGTTGGCAATGCGTACAAAGCTGAGGTAGTGGTTGGTGAGGAAGTTTTTGACTCCTTGCGAGTTGAGTCGAATGAGAATGCTGTTGTCCACTGTTGCATTAGTGAAGCCCATGAAGAGGACTCTGGCCGTATTACTGACTGAACCGTGGACACCGTCGCTGCTTCGAACGGTTAATTCAAAAGTTCCGTCTGTTGAGCGGGCTTTAGAGTTGAGGTTGCACGTTCCAGTTGGGACGTTGAACAGACCAGAGGACGGAGGAATAAGGGAGCAGTGGAACCTATCCTGAATGTCAGGGTCCTGAGGTTTGACGTCTCCCAAGGAACCTCCAGGAAACATGTTTCCAAAGTAGTGGACAAAGATCTCCATGGACCTCGGCTCTGACGGGTTGTCGTTCTGATCATTTATTTTGACGTGGACGGTTCCTGTGGAGGACATCTGAGGCACGCCAGAATCCTTGATCACAACAGAGAGGTAGAAGTCGCTGATCTGTTCTCTGTCGATCTCTCGACTGGTGGTTAACACTCCAGCTTGACTCAGGCGGAAGTAGCTGTTTGCAGAGCCAGAACTGAGGAGGCTGTATAAGAATGGGCCTTGGTTGGGCGGTAGATCTGTGTCAGAGGCTGTTAGTGTTGTAACTGCAGTTCCAGCTCTCTGGTTCTCCATGACTTCAGCGTAAGCGGTTGTCAAAGTTGGGCCGTTATCATTGATGTCTTCCAGATTCACAATAACTGTGGTGCTGCCTGTTGCAGGAGGAGTGCCAGTATCCACAGCTAGAATGGTCAGATTATACACAGGAGTTGTTTCTCTGTCCAGCTCTGCAGCCACAGACACTTGGCCGGTTTTCGGATTGATAGTAAAAACACTTTTATCAAACTCGGGAGAGATGGAGTAAGAAAACCTGCTCCAGCTCGGGACAGAGTCTGAGTCCTCAGCACTCACAAAGGTAACCAGACCACCTGGTGAGAGACCTTCACTGACCTGCACGTCATACAGCTCTTGGGTGAAAACAGGAGGATCATTGGCATCAAGAATTGTGATGTTCACAAACACTTCATCGATATCTGCTCCGCGGATGCTCCCCGCGTTCTTGGCCAACACCTTCAGTGAAATCTTTTCCTCTTTCTCACGGTCTAGAGTACCTGTGACGTAGATCTGACCTGTTTTCTTGTTGATACCAAAGCCTTTCCTTCTGCTCTTTCCAAATATTAGGTAGTAAACCACTCCATCATCTCCTTGGTCCCGATCACTGGCGAACACTTCCCCGACCACTGTGCCTTTTGGAGCGGATTCAGAGATTTCAAAGTAGTACTGTTTGGAGACAAAGCGGGGTACGTATTCATTGGCTCCCTTTAGCTGAATGTTGACGTTGGCGAAGCTGCAGCGCTCCTCGTCTGGGACATTGAAGGCCTTCACTGTTAAATGGTAAACCTGCTTAGCCTCGTAATCCAAGAAGCCCTGGGTGGTGATGGTGCCAGAGTTTGGGTCAATAACAAAGAGGTCGCTGTCTGATGACTGTATCACGTAAGCCATGACAGCATTTGCTCCTGAATCGCGGTCTGTGGCGTTCATTTTGACCACAGTGGTGCCACTGGGGACATTCTCCTGCACAGTGGGGAAGTACTCGTCAGGATCAAACACAGGAGGATTGTCATTCACGTCAGTTACGTGCACGGTGACGGAGACATAACTCATTTTTGTGATCCAGCCGCCGTCAGTGGCTGAAACTCTGAGCATGTGTTGCTGCTTCTCTTCAAAGTCCAGAGGGTGAGCGAGTGATAACACCCCGGTTTTACTATTAAGTGAAAACAGACCCTTGTCGTTGCCTGAAGTAATATTGTAGGTGATAAGGCCGTTCATTTCTTTATCTTTGTCTCTCGCAGTAAGGGTCCTTATTGCTGTTCCCACAGCAAGGCTTTCTGGTACAGTAGCTGAGATTTGGCTTTGCGAGAACTCAGGTGTGTGGTGGTTTTCCTCTGTGACCACGATCCGCACTGACGTCTGCGCCGACAGAGGAGGGTTTCCTCGGTCACTCGCTGTGATGTCAATGAGGAAAATCTTCTTCATATCAGATGTCAGAGAGGAGGCGACAGTAATCCATCCGCTCGTTTTATCCAGTTTGAATTTACTCGAGCTGTTTCCACCTGTTATCAAATATTCCACCTCAGAATTAAGGCCAAAGTCTTTTTTGTCTTCCGCTACGACTCTAATCAGTCTGGTGCCGACCTTCACACTTTTTGTGACGGGAGTAAAGTAGCTAAGCGAATCGAACTCAGGCGGATTATCATTACTGTCTACAATATTTACAATTACTGTTGTCTCGCTCAGCAGAGGCTTCACTGCCCGGTCGGATGCGGTGACAATGAAGCTGTGGCGATTAATATTTATGCTACTGGCACCTGTCGAGTTTTGATATCTTAACTGCTGCTTCACAAATATCTCTCCAGAGCTGGCGTTGATTCTAAAATACTCTGACTGAGACCGGATGAAATAGAAAATTCTGCCGTTGAAACCCTCATCGGGATCTGTGGCCGACACCCGTGTCACCAGGGCGCCCACTTCTGTGAGCTCAGGGTAGTCCAGATAGTACGAAGGACGACTAAACCTGGGGCCGTTATCATTAATGTCTGTGATGAATATGGTGACGTCTGTGCTGACTGTCCAACCAGAGTCATGGGCCGACACTTTGACGATGTAATGATCGGTGTCTTCTCTGTTGAGCGGTCTGCTTATGGTTATGTCACCTGTGCTCGGATTAATGTTGAATGGAAGGCTCGTGTCTGTGATAGAATATCGGCTGATGGCGTTTGAACCAGCGTCTTCATCTGTGGTGGTGACTCTGGTGACAGTGTAACCCACCGGGGCATTTTCAGCCACTGTCGCACTAAAGATTTTAGAAAACCTCGGGGCGTTGTCGTTAACGTCCAGAACACTGATTATCACTTTGACTGCCGTGTTTTTCGGCGGCAACCCGCGATCGGTGGCTTTGACTTTCAAAGTGTACTGAGCCACTTTCTCTCGATCCAGCGGCCTGGTGCTTCGTATTTCACCAGTCGCTCGATTAATGTTGAAACTATTCTCCTTGTTGCCGTCAATGATGGCGTATTCCAGCTGTCCGTTCGGTCCGCTGTCCAGATCAACAGCAGACACCATCAGCACCCGCTGAGGTGAAAGGCTCTCCAGTATTTCAGCGTGGAACGGATCCTTGTCAAACTTTGGGTGATTATCATTCACGTCCAGCACAGTTATTTCCACTTTTTCATAGGAGGAATAAGGCGGGAAGCCCTGATCTCTGGCCTCGATCCAAAGAACATACTTCTGAATGTGCTCATAATCCAGTGAGTGTCTGATTGACAGTTCGCCTGAGAGCTGGTCGATATGAAAAGCATTATCCAGGTTGCCGCTGGCGATGTAATATGACAGTGGTCCACCCCTCATAGACGACCCAGTCACCGTCGTGACAACGTGGTTCGTCGACTGGCTCTCGGGGAACGTGAACATGTGCTCCTTCACCTTGATGACAGGGAAGTTTCCTCCAGTCACAAAGCGGACGGTCACAGTTGTCATGTCTGTTTTGGGATTAGTGCCGCCATCTTTTACTCGAACCGTGAGGGTGACTTCTGAGCTTCCCATCAGCTTCTCAATGGCAGTAATGGCACCTCTGACAGGGTCGATCTTGAACTTTTCAGAGTTGCGGCCCATCAGGGAGTAGTGCAGCTGGGCATTGGATCCCGAGTCCTCATCAGTGACGGTAACAGCAAAGACCAAAGACCCTGAGGACACACATGAGAGAAACGAAATTAGTTTTGCTTTTTAACAATGCTAGTAGTCAAAATTTAATGAAATTCCTTTAATGCAGACTTGAGATATATATATGGTTTGTGAGGCCACCGTGACCTTTGCCCTTTGCCCTTTGACCGACCAAATCTTATCACTTAATCCGCGAGTCTAAGTGAATATTTGAGCCAAATTTGAAAGAATTATCTCAAGGCCTTCTTAAGATAATGCGTTAACAGGGCAAACAATAGGGCTTTGCAAGATCACCTTGACCTTTTGGCCTCTGACCATCATGATGTAATCAGTTTATCTGTAAGTTCAAGTGAACTTTTGAACCACATTTGAAAGGATTCAGGTTTTCTACAAACAAACAAATCTCTGGTGCGAAGGCATGATGAAATCTTTGAGCCCTAATTATAGATAACAACTTATGTGACCATATTTCCTGAGGCGTGCACCAACCTGCTGCAGTAGAGGCAGGGATGTGTGTGACATAGGGGTGGTGGTGGAATCGTGGAGGGTTGTCGTTGATATCCGCCACCGTCACGGACACAGTGGCGGAGCTGGACAAGCCCTCGGGCTGCCCTCCATCTGTCGCCACAACCAGCAGCTGGTAATTGGCCCGGTCCTCTCGGTCCAGCAGCGAGCTGGTAATGATCTGTCCCGTGGCGGGGTTGATGGAGAACTGGCCGTGTCCTCCGGTCAGGCTGTAGCTGCAGGACAGAACAAAGGAGAACGTTTCAGCGGAAGTTTGATGAACAAGCGAGTGAATTCACTCACTGACTAATTGAATTTGTGTTGGCGTATTTGTGATCCCAGTAATCAACTCGGCCTGATGAAGTCATTTCTAATGAACATCCTGAACCATTTCATGTCAGACACAATTTTACGGACATAGATTTCCAAATAATTAACAAATAAATAATTATGATATTCAATGTCTTTGCCAGTGGCTTCTCCAGTGTACTTGGGTGAGATGCTGAACCCCACATTGTCCCTAACGGATGTGGCAACACTGGGTGTGTGAATCTGACTTGTACAGCACTTTCACAACTGGAAGCTGTATAAATGTTGTCTATTTGTGAAAATCCTCTATAACCAGAAGTGCATGATGAAAAAATGTTGCTCATAGAGAAAGAGAAAATCAAGAAAATGTCATTAGTAGCGTTATTAAATTGATTTGTATAACTGCTGCAAAAACCAATGTTTGTGTCTCAAATAAGTTAAAATGATTAAATTACACGCTCTTACTCTTTTATTTCATCAAATTCTCCTCATGAATATTCTCCGGCTACTCAACAACTTCAATTCCTGCATAATGAGCACAACTCCTGTTACAATGAGGCGATTGTGTTGTTAAGGCTGTTTCCAATGTAAATACTTGTCAGGTGACACACACAACACTTTCTGCATATTTCTGTATATTCTCTGACTTGTTTCGCACTGTCACACTGTGGTCTATAGAGGGCACCGTTTCAAGCTTCACAGAAACACATTCAATAGAAGAACATGCAGAAGTATGATCAGTAATGGTCACCACATTGTGCTGGCGTGACATCAAATCGGTGAGTTAAGTGACTGAGGCATCCGGCTTCATACTCTATCAAATGCAGCCACTGTTTTCTGCTTGGCTGCACACACAGAGCCCCAGTGGCTCAGACTGTCTCCTCCGCTGAAGCTGCAGAGTGCCGCAATCCTTGATTCCATTTATCTTATTCAGTGGAACTCATGCTATTGTGGAACATGCCACTCCTAAAAAATATATACATCACTATGATAAATAAACAAAACACACATTCACACATTAAATCCCATCAGGCCTGAGCACTCCGACTCTTCAGCTCACATGTAAGTGTCTTGTTTCTCCCCGTGTCTCTCAAGTCTCCAGCAGGACACAGACGCAAATATAAACTGACACATACACACCAGTGCATATTTTGAAAAGGACAGTGGAAGGGATGAGACATCAAAGAACAGCACAGAGTGTGAATGCAGAGAGGACGTCCAAGCTTTCAGACAACGTCAACAACACAAACTGTCCACAGATGCTCGTGGTCTAAACGCCACCCAGAGACGAGTCCAGGATCACGTCTAATGGGCTGTGAGAATCAAAAACTGAAGGTTAGGGCTGGTTTTCGTCTCTATTAAGTTCCTCGAACCCCTCGGAGCCCCTGATGGGCACAACTCGTACTGTCACGGACAATTAACGTCCTCATTACGATGTTTTGGGAAACTGGAGCACACTGGGGTACCCCCCAACGTGTACCCAGTGGGGTTAGAGAGGAGAGAGGCGGGGTCACACTTGAGTCGGCGTCCGGCTTGAGAGAGAGCGACCAGAAGCTCTGACAAGCTCCCCTGTGGAGGGGGGGGCTGCGAGTGTGAAAAACGCCATCGTCTAGCTCCAGAATAGCAGTCCAAACAATGACTTGGGGTGTTGACTACAGCTCTACGCTCTCCTCCTGAACTCCTGTCATCGATTGCCACATCGGCCTGGAATTTCACAAAGCTGGTGATGAGGTAAAACGTTTTGCTGGAGCCGCGAATCGTGCCAAAGTTCTGCGTCGTCCTGAAAGGGTATTTTCACACCAGGGAATCAAAGCAAACGAACACTGACCTGGTTACTCACAGTAGTAACTGGACCTGCACAAAGCCTGACAGACTCTTCTGGATTGTAAAGAAATGGCCGGATTAGTTATTTGAGGACAAAAGGTTTTTATTCCTGCATTAATCTGTTTGTTATAAAGTAAAGTTTTGAAAAAAAAATCCAGCATCTTCTGTTGCGTAAATGAATCTGACTAAAGGTAATGTGTTATTGGTAGGATTTCATTCTTCCCCCAAGGACGTTATGTTTGTTTGTTCGTCAGCAGGATCACATAAAAATTACAGAGCTGATGTCCATTAAATTTGGTGGAGGGGTGGGGCATGACCCAAGGAGGAACCAATTAAAGTGTGGATCTGTATAAACAGGCAGATCCAGATTTTTTAACTTTCTTATACATGGTGAGATAACTTATTAGCCTTGGAGGAAGTATTTTCTCAATTACTGCCCCTCGACTTTAAAGTAGGATATAAAAACGTTTTAAATAATAAAAGTCTTGGTTTGAATTCACTATTTAACAACTATTTTGACTCTTTTAATTACTCGTGTTATGTGAGTCCAATGTTGTGGGTTATGTTTTTATTGTGGAGTCCTCTAATAAAACTAGACTGGACAGAATAAGTGAATGAAAATCCTAAAATCTTATGTTTTGACAGCTGATATTTGATGGTTTAAAGTGCTTTACAGAGCAGCACAGCCATAAATACATGTAAACATGAGCATTTGTTGAGTGTCACCACATCTCGACTCTATAATTAAAGCATTAAAAAGGCCTCTTCACAAGAAAGTGTATGTTTATAAAAAAAAAAAAAAAAGCCACATGACTGGGTCAAATGAGAAATACAATAAACAAATCGTTTCTTTTATGAGGATCAAATGGTTTTAAAACAAAAAACGTCCACAGCGACAAACACTCTGAGTTTCCATTAGTTCTCAGAAGAAGAAAAGATGTTCCCTCCCTCCGCCAAGGCCCAACAGTCGATTCCATATAAATCAAGCTGCACCAAATTTCACATACTCATAGATTTCAGTTCGCTTTTTCATCAAGCTCCATGAATTTCTCACAGGTAAAATGGTGAAAATGTGAAAAAAACACCCTCAATCTCACAATTTCTAAGAGAGTGATACAAAATTCCTTTATTCAGATCTGTGTCAAAATTTTATAGATTCACCCATTCTGCATGCTTCCACCAAGTTTAAGGTAAATCAGTCGAGTAGTTTTTCTTCTAAAAGTCAGACAAATAGCAATGAAAACCTTTGGCTAATGGTCATAAATACCTTATGACTCCATTAACGCCCACGTCTGCGTCCGAGCTGTTGACCAGCAGCACGTCCGTCCCCGTTGGGGCGTCCTCCATGATGGTGGTGTGAAACATGGAGGAGGTGAAAACGGGGACGTTGTCGTTCACATCGTCCACCAGAACTGTCACCGTGCCTGTTCCGCTCAGAGGAGGAGAACCTGAGGACGGAGGGAGGAGGAGAGGAAAAGAAAATTAACCACGAGTGACAAGAGCAGTTTACTTTTCCCTTCAGAGAGTTCGCCAGGACACTTTATTACATTTTCCATTCAAGTGACAGACCTGGACGTGGAGGATTTCCTAACTGACAGGATTTGAAACTGCCTTCTGCACCACAGAAAACTGGTGGAGGAGACACAGGGACATGTGAGCACCTTTAAGACTCAAGATGACTTGTCGTTTGCACCGGGATCCACACTGAACCGATTCACGGCCCTGCAGAGGTTCACTCACAATGTTCCTGCTGCATTCGATTCAAGCAAATATCTCTTGCCACCGGTTTGGGTTTCCATCAACACGCATTAGCACAGAACACTTCAAAAGGGCTCAATGTCTCTGAAACCAAATCTTTCAGGCGTCCTTCCTGGGGTCTTGGACGCACATAGATTTAATCTCTGCAGAGAGGTATCTATTTTAAGGTGCACGGCACAGTGTGTCTGTGGAATCTGAGCAAGGAGAGGTTCTATTTTCTATTTTCAGCTAAATATCTAAGCGTTTTTCTCCCAGCGCGGTGACGAAACAGGGCTCGCTAAGGCCCTGGGGGGAGTGGATTTAAATCAATAGCAGATGAAGACATGCCGCAATGCAGAAAAACCTGAGGAGAAAAAAGGGATTCAGACATCTGCCTTCCTCACGCTGCCCTTTATAATCCTTCCTTAAATGGCACAGTTAACGGCCTGATTTTTATTCCAAACATAAAGTTCAGCTTCGTTTCTGTAAACCACAAGAGGAGATGCAGGGACATATTTAAGGGCTCGGAGCTCTACCGTTCAGGGACGTGGAGAAACGCTGAGATCTGCAGACTGCACGAAACACTTTTTCCAACCTCTTAACTTGTAGTCGTTCCCTCCTGCGGCTCTCTTCAGGAACCAGTGTGAACGCGTCAGCTACAATTCACCAAAACAAAAACATACACAATCCCAGAGCTCGTGCCTCCTTCGTCTGTGTACTCAGCTGGTGAAAACATTAGATGCTTGAACCCGCGTACCATCGGGGGGGCCTGGATTAATAAAAGATAATAAGAAACATTTGGACGACGGCCAAGCACAGAAAATTCTCTCTTAAGAAAAATCAAAACTTTAAGAATCTGAGGGTCAGAAAGGAAATCTTCGATGACACCCTGGTTCTGTTGCTCGGCCTGCGAGGATTATCTTCTACATGTGTGAGAATCAGAGCAATAAGCTCATCACATTTTGTGCCAGTGATTCACATTTGAAAGTCAGATGAATTATCTTTCCTCCAGTCGTCTCCCGAGATGATACGCGAGTAGAGCTGATAAAATCACTCCTCTCTAACGTGATTGTATTTCACTAGGAGGTTGGAAAAAGGATCATGAGCAGCCCTGAGGAAACTGTTGGAGGCTGCAGCTCCAGGTCGGAAAAGACGAGGCTGATTATTTTAGTCTAAAGCGGCGACAATTACATTCTGTGATCGGCTATTTTTAATAATTTGAGTTTCGGTTCGTCTAAATGTGTGTGTATGATGAGTCTGGGCTGGTGACGGAGGTTTACACTTAAACTTTTACACAGATCTTTACTGAAAACTTTAATTGTTTGAAAACTGGAATGATTTGGGGTCATGTGTTACTCAATGTAGGGCCCCCCCCCCGGGTCCCCTATGCCTGTGGGCCCCCAAAATCACCTTGAAACACTCCTGCCGACAGTGTTAAAACTAGAAAAATCGTCATATAAATCCAGTCCATTGAAACTTGTTGTATAGTTACTGTACTGAAACCACAAGAACAGTTTTGATATTTTGGATTATGTACAGATCCTCCTCCAAAACCAGATTTTTCTCATAAAGGCTTGAACCTTAAAAGGCATAAAATATGCAGGAGTTGAATTTAAACCAGGAAAAAGTCAAAGAGTAAGAAACAACATGATGAATCACACACAGACAGTAGATAAAGATGGACGACGTGAAAACTTCCAAAAGTGAAGCCAAAGTGTCTCGATCGCTTGTTGCTCGCTCCAAATGACGTCATCTGCAACGTATAAATATGTTTGGTGTCTTTTCTGGACAGTGTGAAGAAGAGGAGACGTGTCGTCCATCATTATATACGGTCTATGTTCTGATATTCTTAGGAGGGAGTTGCACTTTCATACAGTATATGCCAGCATAGCAGGAAACAGGGTTTAATCCCCCCCCCCCCTCAAACAGCGTCCCACCTTCTGAAACGCCCTTGAGAATCAAATGAAATCCCCCCTGAGCTCGGCAGCTGCTGCAAACTGCTGACGCTAAACTGTGACCTCCCTCGAGGGCCGAGAGGAGAAAGAGACATTTTCTTGCAAATATGCAGATCATTGCGGGGTCCGGGGACCACGGCGGCTTCTCCTCAGGAGGGCGGGGGGCATTCCTCGCAAAATGAGATTTGCAATCGTTTACCGTAACATCACTTCACTGCCCACGGCCTCGTGATGATAAACAGACACTGGACCCGAAGCTTGTCATTTCATTCCAGGTTTTCATGGTCAGAACAGAAGTAGCTAATGTGCACGTTGGGGATAAACACAGCTGAATTCCAGAAGCAGAATAAATGATACAAACAGAGGTGATGGTAAACAAATTTTCATCCCAGAAGAGAAACCATACGACGCTGATCTTCAGTGACTCATTACCAAACTGAGTAATGTCCTCCGCCGACTTTTTAAAGATCTTGTGTTTATAACCTAATATAGGAAATGTTGCATTTAGAGGTGAGTGTGTATTTCCTTCACTGCAAATATTTATAATTCAAAGAAAACTCCACAACAGAATGACCTTGATGTCCGATGCAGGTTTGGTGTCAAATGCAAAGAATTAACAGTGGAAGTAACACAATACAAGCAGAACACATAAACTGCGGTGCGTAATTTAGCATCCAGTCTGCACTCCATCATAACGAGCTGGTTATGTAACCAAAGGCACCGCAACATGTGGCTCAGATCCCAAACAAGCGCAGTCAGCAGGATCCCTTAATCAACATCATACTTGATTGCGGCTTTTTTAAAATCCGCCTACACGCGAGCACGCCGTGTCACACGTTCAAGTGCGCGACGAGATCGGTGTCGACGTGAGTCATCATTCAGAGGGGGGGGGGGGGGGTTGTCATGGCAACAGATTAGGGCAGCTCCTCCTCCGCTGATCCTGTTTAATTGAGCGGCGACCCGAGTCAGCAAGGTGTCCACCTCGCTTCCAGTTCACGTCGGCCGCTGCTGCTGCTGCTGTTGCTTCAACTCGCTAAGACCTGTTGATCAAAGATGTCCTGCGCGGGCTGGAGCCGCACGGCCGATAAGTGGCTCTGAGAGCTAAGTGGCTTTGTCTGGGAAAGCCATCGCAGCCGAGAGACGGAGAGAACCAAGGAGCCTGCTTCTAAAATGTTTTCACTGAACTCAAAGTACCTTCTGCTACACAGTGAGCTCGGTCGTTGCATTTCAACAGCATTGTTTCCCCCACGAAGTGCGGAAGCAGGCCAAGATGCACGGCTAGACCGGTGTGTGTGTGTGTGTGTGTGTGTGTGTGTGTGTGTGTGTGTGTGTGGAGCACACTGCCCTCCTTCCAGGCGTTTCACTTTTGAACAGGATTTGATGTCACAACCTGTTTACTGCCTTGGGAGGAGAACTAACAGCCTCCTCTGCCACCATTTGTGCGACCTTTGACCTGCAATGCCTTTGTCACCAAACGCATCATACAGGACGCCGTCACCCCGGTTAATCCTTAGTAAGCACAGAGCAAACTAAACACCCCCACCCTCCCTTTGTGAAGACCTAACTATGCTTAAAATACTCCAGACCCCTGGATGCCTCCGTCTGCATCTATGAACCTGTGCTTACTTCACCATCGTCGCCATGCGCGGCTTCAATCTGAGCATTCTTCTCGGTGTATCACTTCTCCCAGCGCCATGCGCCCGTGTGCGGCCTCTGAACGTCTCGTCTTAACCTCCCGGGGCTCCCCGATATCACATAACCCCTGGCAGCTGTTCCACCCCCTAAAAACCTGCTGCGCGACGTGTAAATAGTTCAGATCGATCTTGTTACAACGCGTGGGCCGACAGATTTGTCTTCAAGAAACATTATATCCTGGCAGGTATGCAAATGTATGTAAATGACAGTTGTTTTGAATAGTTATGGTCTGGGTGAGACATTCTTAAGATGATTCTATGGCGGCTGCTAAATAAGCGGGTCAACATCGCAGTCGAGTACGTCGTCTGTTTCCGATTCTTAAATTACTCCTGAATACCAAACCTGTAATAGTAAGACAAACAATTTTGATGCACAAAATAACCTCCAGCTCCTCCTCGTCTTTTTTATTTTTTCAGGAAGGGGTGACTCAACAGGAGAGGAATTCTCTCCAAGAGTGCTGAGAGATGCCATCATCATCTCCTCCAAACAGACTTTGCTGGAATCTGGCAAAGCCGAGGGAAGAGTGTCAGGGTCAATGATTTAGACGACTGCAGCCGACGTGTGTGTCACCCCTCGTGCGCTGCGGCCGAAGCCCGGGACGAGAGAGGGGGGGGGGGGGTTCGCCTAAATCTGGAAGCGCACAATCTGGCACACCGCTATGCGACACATGACATCATCTTGCCATGGAAAGAGAACTGGTGGAAATTTGCTGCAGGAAGTCAGCTGCCTACCGACGGCTGCCATGCTCCGCGGTTAGAAAAGATTCTTTCCAGTCCCCAGACGCTTTATTCTTTTTCTTTCTGGCGTGGATCTGTAAAATTCTGAAATTTTAACGAGGCTGCAAGTCTTTTTCTGAGTTCCTGTCTTCATCTAGTATCCAGTGATATTTGATGGCACAGCCACTAAAGTCTCACCACCATGCGGGTAAATGTGAAAATGAAATAATAAGAAGAAGTAGTTGTTTGTGCCGGTCCCCCAGAAGAGAAACGAGACCCTCAAATGTTTGCATTCTTATAACCGTTATGCCTAAGGACCCATAATCAGTAGATCAGTCGTCGGCC